CGAATAGGAAGTCGCCACGTGTCCAAAGCAAGTCGAATGAACTTCTCTGCCAGGTCGAGATCGGACCAGACAGAGAGGGGGCCAATGTTTGGGGATGAAAATACCCTGGACACGTGGAGGACCCTTATTGGTACTCCAAGATGGCCCATGAGTCATGCCCAGCTCGGATAGCCGAGATGGCTGCCACCAACGCCGACGAAAGCTAAGTATGAGGGCCGAGGTGAACCTGGCCCAGGTCTGACCTACCGGGGAGCTCGGTAGGGGCCGATGTGAGCAACTGTCTGCGGCGTGATTATCGGGCGTAACCGTTGGTCCCGAGATCACCGGGTGTAACCGACGGTCCCGAGATTACCGAATGTAACCGTCGCGAGATTAGCGGGACCACCACCCATAAGTAGAGGACCTCACTCCCCGATCAGGTACGATGATTGCTGGCTTCGAACTAAACTTGGAATCCGACCTATACTGACTTGATCGTCGGAGTGCTCACCTTTTTGTGCAGGTCCGCCCAAATGTTCAGGTCGGTACGGAGGCCGAGTTTGAGCTACAATCGGGAACACACTGTTGTGCACATCTTTGCATAAACAAATTTTACCACATATGCTAAAGCGAGTATAACTCAGCGATAATTATCATATATGTCTTATCAAAAGATTGTGAGTTCGATACTTCATCTCCACATGTTATACTAAGAAATTTTTTTTACCACACATCTTATTTGATAGATTTTATTTTATAATGTTAGATTTTGGAGGTGATTTTTAAAAGCGTCACATGAAACGAACTATGGATTGAAAAGTATCGAGTTATTATAATGATGTAAGTTGAAGGCCAAGCTCTTTGAAGCAAAATAAAGAGCTCGACTACCTTCTTTGGTCGACCCAAAATTTTTAAAAGGCTGAGCGGACTAGCAAAGATTTCAACGGCCGACCTTTGTAAAGGACGAGTCAATGATCAAAGCATTTCGTGTCGCTGATTTTATGCGTTTTTCCGACAACACACCACGATTTATAGGATGGTCGTAACCATTTGAAAAGCGATGACAGTGGGCCAAAACCTAAAATATAGGGATCCAGTTCATTTTTCGGGTACATGATACTATTCTCTCTAAGTAAGAGATCGATTTTGACTAAAGTAAGTGTTTGTTGACCACTTGAGTCCGAGCTTCGCAAGGTTGGTCATTTTTATGATAAAGCATTAATTATATAATTAGGTATACTTGTACTACTACTGCTTTTAGAATATTTTAATGGACATATGACCTCTAAAATGTTATGTATAATGGAACTAAAAAAGGCTTAAATTTTATGTCAATTTAAGCATAGTTCGAGTGATTAAGACATATATTTTTAATCAAAAGATCGTGAGTTCGAATACCCATCCTCAATATTGTTATACTAAAAAAAGATGTTATATATATGCTAGTCAATATTCTATCATTTCAAATGTTTGAATATTAAAGTTTACTTAGTATCGTGATTGTCGCATTATTTTAGATTCTATTAGAGCAAGTATCACGTATGTTTGTTGAAATATTTTTAAAACCTTTATAAAAGTGAAAGATAATATTGAAATTTGATTGGAGTGTTTTTTAAACAAATAGCAAAGTTTTAGGGTACATTTTGTAATTTAGGCTTATTTTCATTTATCTGTTCCAGATTCTGAGCCTCCATCAACACACCAAGCGTGATAAAGCGATAGCAGAACTAGAAATTGGATAGACAAATCGGGCAGCATCGCTTCCAGTTCCAGGTTAATTTCGAGTTCATTCCAACTTCAATTCAATTCAATTCCTTTCCAGTTTCCCATACCATTTGATCTTCAATTTCTATGGTTGCAGGCTCTCCCAAGTTCCACCATCGCTTCGATACAACGAAATGGTTGTCTTGCAATTGCAACTACAGGACTGCGCTCTCACGCTACGCCCAATCGACGCTAAAATTTCTCGCCATCCCATCCGTTCGACTCCATCTTCGGCCGGTAGAGTTGCTTTCCCGAACTTTTATCGGCTCGAAGTGAGCCAATGCGTGACCAGAGCCAGCCGCGACCGGAATTCGGAAGTCCAGAATATTCACTCGAGCGCAATCGAGGTGGTGGTAGATGACGAAGGCGAAGATTACGATGGAGTCGATGGAGTTTTGAGCGAGAGTGGGTTTAGAGGAAGAGAAGGGGAAAAGGACTACGATCGAGACCCAGAGTTCGCTGAAATTATCGGAACTTCCCTTGATGATCCTGACAAAGCTCGGTTCAAAGTATAGTTTCTTAAATCTTTCTTGTGAATCGTTTATTTGAGCATATTGCATTCCTTTGTGAGATTCATATTTATCTAGACATCTTATACTTAAAATTCATGTTGCTTATTGGTTATTCTTCTTTTTGGGTGATTTGTTTGTGTATTTGGGTTCGTCTAGGAGTCGAAATATGATCGCCTAACATAAAATGCCTAGATAAATACGTAGAAGCATTTTTCATTTTCAGCATTTGGTGTTTAACTCGTCTAAATTTCAGATGGAGGAGAGGTTGAGGAAGAAAAGGAACAAGATACTGCAGCCAAAGACGGGATCAGCTGTTCCATTAAAAATTACATTCAACAAGTAAGTTTAAATCTGTAGCTATCTAATGTTACATGTCATATTTTTAATAACTGGGAATTATATGGCTTTGTGTATAGCTAAGCCAAACTGTATGAACCACGTCAATACATACATATTTCCTAGTTATATTTCCATGCATGTTCCATCCACTGTCTCAGAATTGTAGCAGGAATTTTGCTGAGAATGAAAGATTTTGCAACTTTCCTCATTTGGATCAGTTTTTTTCCTATAATTTATGGAAACTTTCTGTTGAATGCTTTTCTTGTAGCATAGTTGTGCATGTTATTCTCCCAATTTTGATTACATATGTTGTCTCTTTGGTTTGGAATTGGACGTATGAGTTGTCAATGCTTCTTCCAGGTTCGATTTCTCAAACTCGTATATATGGTTTGAATTCTACAACACTCCATTGGCAAAAGATATCACCTTAATTTGTGATGTAAGTTCTTGTTTCTGCTATGTTAGTTTCTGTCTAAAAAAACTTCAGTGAAAATTAGATTTATCTTTGTTCACAGACCATAAGATCATGGCACATCATTGGACGTCTTGGTGGATGTAATTCCATGAATATGCAGGTAAATTTCGATATCACTCTTTAGAATTTGAGCATTTACGTCCGTTAGCTATGCCCTGTTTCAAGTTGTTGAAAGGATTGCATGGTGTTTTACATGGAAAATCAGTGAACTTCAAATCACATACATCACCATTCGCTTGTTGCTCATATAAGTTAATTCTGCAGCTCTCTCAATCTCCTTTGGATAATCGACCAAGTTATGATGCTATTGAGGGAGCCAATGTTACTCCAACCACGTTTTATAACATCGGGGATTTTGAGGTTCAGGACAACTTGGCTCGTATATGGTATCAAGTCTCAATCGAATGTTTCTTGATGTTTCTCTTCCGTTTCAAGTTTCAAACTACCAGTTCTTTTTTCTCACGTACCAACTTATCTTATGCACAGGGTTGATATCGGGACGAGCGAACCGTTGCTTCTAGATATTCTGATAAATGCACTAACCCAAATAAGCTCCGAGTAAGTTTCGACTACACTTGTAACCAACATTTACTTGCCCAAACCTAGTTTCCATGCAGTACTTTTACTCTTCCAATTGTCTGCTCCCAGTCAACTATGTTATAGATTCATGTTCTGGTAACAAAACAATATTGCTTATATTTGCGCTCTCTTGTACACAAATCAGCTCTTTTTGGGTTTTGGTTTTGCATTATTTTTCCATAACGTTTACGTTAACTAATACTCTTTATGTACCTCTAAAATCTTCGCAAATCAGCTATGTCGGAATGAAGCAATTGGTTTTTGGTGGATCCGAGTTTGAGAATTGGAAAGAGGATCTGACATCAGAAGACGCAGGTTGCAGTACTCACAAAATATAGTCAACTTGCTTCCCATCGGCCTCCATTGTTTCAACTACAATATGGAAGATTGAAACAGATGTTGAAGGAACAATGTGATGAATAAGCTGATATTATATGGGAATTTTATGCCTCTTATCTGGGAACATTGTTTGTTAGCCATAGTCTCTAGGAGAAAAAATAATATGTAGAGATCAAATTCTTTTTGAATTTATGTAAGAATTGATTTCCAAACAAGCCAGTTTCAAAATTTTACTACATATAATACACATCAAAATGAATATACATCTAAATGTTAATTTGTCTCTCATAAAGAAAATGCTCGATGTTCTTACTGAAAAGATTGCCGGCAGAAAAGAACAGGAAAAAATCAATAGCAGAGAGAATCATAAAACTAAGCCTCGAGGGCTTTCTTTTTCACAAATGAAAAGAGGATCATAATGATAATTTAAAATGCAAAGAAATAATTGTTCTCAGAATTATCAAATAATTTGAGAAACCTACAGTAAAAAAGCAGAGATAACTGGCGAAATAACACTTGTACAAATTTTTTCCTAGAAGGTTGGTTAGAACTCAAGGATACAGTTGTACAACTTATAGGATAGATTCGGTTCGAGTAAGTTCGTTGTTGTCGGGATTTGTGAACAATTTATGTACACAACGGGTAACCTAATCCTTCAAATTTTCAAATGCTACCTTTTCTTTTTCATCGAACAACTCAAGTACAGAGAGCATATTGCATTTTATCAACATTAAAGCTCAGTTCATTCTTTCCTAAGTCAGAGTTAGAAGCAGCCATTTCCAAGATGAAATAACATGTCTTACGTGGAAAACTCTTCTACCATATGAATGTCTACCTCAAAGTAAAATCTTAGTTTCCAAGTGTGAGAAAAAAAATATAAACGATTAAATATGAGAGAAAATATAACTCTTGTTATGAACTCAAACTAAAAAACATTAGTCAAAGTGTGAGAAAATAGTATACATTAAACTGCTCACCTAATGTATCCTTCAGAGGTATGACGCATGAACAAGAACTATATAACAAAAAAACCATGGCCAATTTGAAATAATAAATAAAAAAATAAGTATGTGCATGTATAATCAATGCTAAGGAACTGGATTTACTTGTAATTCTGTCGGAGTGAACGGAAGTGTGCTGCAAAGTCGTCGTAATCAGGAAGCTTTGGGTGAACATGACTAGCTTTCTGAACTGCTTTCATCTTCTCCCTTTTTGAACTCTCGGAGTCGCCTTGTGTTTCTACTTCCGGGGAAGGATTGGATGGTAGTTCCTTTGTAGAAGATGTTAATCTTTCTTCATGGAAAGACCTTTTACTTTCAGGAATTGGTTTGGAAGGTTTCGTCGATTGAGTCGGCTGCTCAGAGTTTGCCAAGTAATGAGAGTTTCTTGTTTGAGCCCAAGTCTTCACTGAAGCTGTAGTCGTCTCCCTTGCAGAAGAAAACTTTGAACTCTCAGAATTTCCTTGCCTATCTAACTCTGGAGGATAATTGGATTGCTGTTCCTTTGCAGAAGATTTCAACCTTTCCTCATTCAAGGGCATCTTAGTTTCAGGAGTTTGCTTGAAAGGTTTAGATGATTGGGGCTGCTCTGAACTTTCTAAGCGACTGGAGGTTCTTGTTCCAGTCTTCGCCTTCAATGGAGCTGGGGATGAATAGTAACTCCTTGAAGCTTTCTGCTCGGTTACGTCGTCATGACTCGTGGGTGTCCCATATGAGTCCTCCACATACGAACTCGGAGTTTTAGGAGATGCTGTGGTCCGTCTAGAAAGTCCAATAAGTCGATGAGGACTATTTTTCACATTTTGTGTATGTGAATCTTCCTCAGAATCATCATCATCGTGGAAACCAGGATACTTAACTGCAACTCTTGTTGGGATTGGCTTCTTAGATATTTCATTGCGCATTTTGTCACTGTATGACTCTTCATCGCTTCTAAGAGTATAATCAGAGGACCTGTCCTTAGACTCTTCAAGATTGGAATAATTGCTATTAAGCTTGGCCTGTGAGCCCTTCTCTTCATCTGGTTTTTCTTCTACACTTCTACCATATGTCCCTTCACTGGAAGCATTTGATCTAAACGAAGTCCTAGCTGTAGAAGAAGGAATTGAGGTAGACTGCTCAGTTCTTGCGTCATCGTTTCCACATGTTTGTTTGGATGGTAAATCACTTGTTGATGAATTGATTGCATATGGAGGCCTATTACTCTTTTGATTTCTTAGGCCACCCTTCAGTTTCCCAAAACTCAAGGGACTGTAGACTTCTGAAGTTGATTCTTCTAGTATTTTAGTATCTTGTATGATATCAGGAGAGCTTGGTGGGCTGGCTTTCTCCTTGGATCCATGGACAAGGGGAATGTCGGAAGAGAGGCGATGAGATGGCATGCTTTTGTTCTCCTCATCTGAAGATCCCAATGATACATGGCTAATGTCCTGAATCCATTCTGGTTTTTCAGAGTACAAATTCTGTTTCTTAGAAAATTCGATAGAGTCTTCTTTACCAATGATCCCAGATTCTTTCACCTCTTCCTCACTTTCAGAACTAGGTCCATCTGAATGGTCAAAAGTTGCCGGCAACAAGTCATCAGAATGGGAAGGATCTTCAAAACTTCTTGAATTTCCAGCAAACAAAGAAGTACGCTCATCAGAAATTTGCGAGTGTGAAACAGACTTCTCAGGAGGATCATTCTTGTTTTGCTTGAAGATCCAAGTATCATCTGTCGCTGATGAGTTTATCGGCACCGTTCCCTCAGGGGATGAAAGCTCCAGAATAGATTCTCTTATCTGGTAATCATAGTCTGGGACATAATCATCATCTGGACCATAATCATCAAAGACCACACTGGCATGATCATTAAAACTTGTATCAACAGTCTCACTATCATTAGGTTTATCCATGGCAAAAGGGTTGTCATAAGTATCCATCATTGGCTTCTCGTAGGAAGGCACTCTATTTGAATCATTTCCAATCCTCACATCCTCATAGTAACTAGTTCTTTCAGAACCTGTACCAGATGGCCGATCACTAACATATTCTACATCAAAGTTTCTGGGTTGTTTCTCCATACTGGCACTACTATGGGAGTCACCAAACCCAGGTTCAGATGAATTCTTGAAAGAGTATCTATCTGATGCATTGAAATTAGTTACATATGTGTTAGAATCATAGTCTTTGGGTTGTTTCTCCACAGTTGCACTATGAAGAGAGTCGCTAAACCCAGGTTCGGATGAATTCTTGAAAGAGTATCTATCTGATGCATTGAAATTATTTACAGATGTGCTAGCATCAAATTTTCTGGGTTGTTTCTCCACACTTGCACTACTACCAAGAGAGTCGTTAAACCCAGATTCGGATGAATTCTTGAAAGAGTATCTATCTGATGCATTGAAATTAGTTCCAGATGCGTTAGCATCAATATTACTAGCACCCGAAGACGGATAACGTAACTTCTTGTCATCGTCCCCCATAAATCTTCTTGCATCATTCTCTCTCCTATTATCATCCATGATAGAACTTCTATGAGGGGCACTGACAACTTGGTCTTTAGGAAGTTGTTGATCTTGCAAATTTAAGTTAGCATATTCTTGAGGTCCTTCAGCCCTTAAATTATAAGATGAAGATTTTTGAAACCCTGAAGAGGACGATTGGGATATGTTTCCACGACTAGAAAGTTCTGCAGCAGCTCGGGCAGCAAGGCTAGCTAATTCTGCAGATTCAGCAGCTGCCTTAGCCGCAGATGTAGCATCCTTGAAATCCATATTCCAATGCTGCCTGCCTGAAGAGTAATTATTCTGATCACCAGAATTTGTGTGCCTATGCGTCCCCTCTGCATTCATTTCTGCATATCAGAGCATCAATATATATCTGATTGTTACAAATCCAAGCCAAAGTAATGATCTTCTATATAGAGAGAGGGAAAAAATGAAGATTATCAAATCCAAAGTATTTTTCACGCACCAGAAGATCTTGTTTCTGGAATACGATGGCCAGTGATGTTGCTTTGATTGGTATAGTCATTAGTAAAGTTGGATTTCTGGGAATGAAGCGTTGGTCTCAAATTGTGCTCAGGGGACTTTTCAGGTATTCGATGCCCCTCATCTGATTTAGATGGAACTTGAACACTAGCAGATCCCCTGTTATTGTGATCAAGTGAGGGTTGGCCACCAATAGGCTCCCCCCTCTGTATTTGACTGGCTTGTCCAAAAGTATTTGGTCCATTCTGCTCGGTAAAGTTCATAACTCGTATTAATAAAATGGAAATTCAACATTCAAATAAAATAACTCAGGCAAATTCTCACTACGATAAAAATTCACCTTGAACAGTAAAGGAAATCATTTATTAAAAAAATTGATAACGATAAATTTTACCAACAAGTCAGCTGGAGGGTTGCTGCTATCACAAAATGTTTTGGGGTCCCATTTGATTTTATGTTCCTCGGCAATTGCAGTCAAGATTTTAAGTTTGGTCTGTCCATCTGGTGCTTTAGCAGACATTTTTTCAACCAACTGGAAAGTTGTAATAAAATGAAAAGGGAAGTCAATGGGACTGAAATGTTTTCATAGATAGAATTCACAATCCCCAAACTCATGAACGGCAAAACAGCTAACACATTTACCATGCGATTCGCTCCACATTCTGGGCGTAGCTCCACTGCTGCTGAGACGAATTCTTTTCCATATTTTGCTTTGAAGTGTTTTCGAACATCCATAAGCTCTGGAATATCCGCACATCTGGGCGATGCAAATATAACACTCGCGATTGCTTCCTTCAAGTCTATCGGGCAATTTCTGGACGTGTTAACATAGATGGAATTAACAAATTTACACATAAGGATAAGTCATAGTCATTCTTCGAAATTACTGTTTCTTAATGCAAATCAGAAGTTAATATAAACATCACTGGTGGGGGTGGGGTGGGGGAATCAGAATTCATATGGAATTGACATACAAATTCATATTCTGAAACTAAAGTACACAATTATTGAGAAATCGAAAAAAATTATTTCTAAAAAAAGTTGACATACTTTTGGGACTCGATCATTGGCATGCGTGCCACAATTAGTTCACAGAATATTTCAATGAGTTCATAAGCTGCCTTTGATTTCTCTTCTCTAACAACGTGTTCAACCTGAAACAAAGACGGAAACATATATTCTTCAGAAAATGGGAGTTCGAGCAGAATTCATCAAGTTGACGCGTGAATCATACAGAGGACAGAGTTCATCTTCCGATATGACATTAGGTCTCTAAGACAGTGATGGCTTGATAAAGACACAAGCAAATCCAAGAACATATTCATACAATCAATTTCAGAGATGAAGAATAACAATACAATACCCGAATTCTAGCAGTCTGGTCCTGTCCAGCCTCGAGCAACTTCGCCAATTCTCCCCTCAGCTGCCTGACCTGGACTTCTTTCTTATTCCTCAAAAGCTTAATCCGCGAAACCGCTAACTTCAACGATGTCTTGCTGCACCGAGCCAATTCAACATAATTCAAATGAAAAACGAATTTCCCTCAAATTCGATTGATTGATCGAACAGTTAAGTCAAACAATCCAATAACGACGCTGAAATTAAATCCAAAGAGACAAAAATCCACGGAATTCCTAGACCATCTCGTTCGCAATCACCCGCAGAACAAAAAATCGACAACGAGTCGATTTTTTGCAGAAACCAAAAAGTATCAGACACTTAAAACGCGTTCGAAGAAGGAACCATACCATTTTGCAGGCTTGAAGCTCTTGTGCAGCATCGTTGTAGGAATCCAAAACCAGATCTCAACGCGGGAAAATCTTCAACTAGCGGGACAATTATCCGCCAAAAAAACCATCAAAAAGAAAAATCCTCCCTCCGAGAGACGAAGAATAGGAATTTGAATTATGTTGAGAAATAAAAATCAAGTTATACGATCGAAGAAGAGATGGTAATGGAGAGAAAGTGAAAGGACGGAGGACGACAAGGAATCGCGACGGAGCTCCGGCCGAAGAAAGAGCCTCTGAAAGGGACTTTGTTTTTCGTGTACTGATCAAACTTTAAGCGTGGCAGATCGGCAAGACCTAGGTGCGGGAAGGTTCAAGGTAACCCACCCATCATGGCTCGCTGACTTTTATATTGACCAAATCACCCTTCTCAATTTCCTTTAGGAATTCAATTGCAAATTCCACGTAGTAAATTATATTCCTATATTAAAATATATATTTTCTAGATTCTTTGGATTTTTTTTTTACCATATTACTCCTTTCTAATTTCATCCATCCACCTTTATTATAAGACAAAATATTCCTACATTTACTAAAGATTTTATATTATTACTCATTAATTCAATATTCTTTCGATATTTTAATATTTTCTTTCCTCTATTATTTCTTTTCCACTTTTAGTTTCAATAGATATTTTTATATATAGTAAACATATACTCTCTAAAATGTTATAGGATAGATATTTTTATTAGTATATTCCAACATATATTCCATAATAATTCTTCAGTAAAATAGATATAATTTATATATACTCTCTTTTGTTTATTAAAGTCTATAAATAACATAAATTATTTACTAAATTGATAATTTTCTTTGTAAAAAAATATTCGAAAAATGAGGTGGAGATGCGGAATAAAATATTTTGTAGGACCAAGATGGGAAGGTATCTCGACTCTCACAGTGTTGTTAGAAATAAAAAAAATATTTATCAAATATGATTTTTGTTTTACAGAAACAGAAAATCGAATAACTATAAAACCGGCCTTTACTAATTTTATAATTATTTATTTCATCCAATTTGGTCTCAATCTTGATTAGATCCCAACAGTTTTTGATAAATCGCATGAGACAAGAAGGAAAGTTCAGGCAAACAACTTTCTGCCTCTTTTTTCACCCTTTTTAAATTAGTTTTCCTTTTCGAATAAAAAATAATCATTTTCTTTTTAACTCGTGGGAAAGTGACACATGTAAATAATTATTTTAAGATAAATGAAATGATAAAATTAAAAAGTCATTATATCATTTTTTTTCCCGAAATTTTTTAGTTAAAATTTAGGGAATAAAAGATTAAAAAAATGATCCAATTACATCTTAAAAGATGGGTCTAGTGGCGAAATAAACATAAAATAATAATAATAATAATAATAATAATAATAATAATAATAAATTGAGATTACATGCCAAATTGAATGATTATGCATTAATACTAGAAATCATCTCCTCTCTAAAAAGTTGGCATTAAAAGATTGAATTATTGATATCTTTTGAATTCTGATATCTTTAAGATATTTTTAATTTTTTTAAAACACATAAAGATTATGAGTTTTCCCGGCTAGTTGGGATGAGGGGGATGAAGAAGGTTTCTTCGTCCCGTCCCATTTAATTTTCCATCTTCATGAAATTTTGGGATCAATTATTGTAAGGAATATTCATTAATATTACTTTTTAAATAATTTATAATTAAATACTTAATTGTCATGTACAATTAAATCTTCTTCATTTGAGGAAAAGTTCTGAAAAGAAAAGTTCTGAAAACCATCCATCAATCTCATTTGAGGGACGTATTATACATCCTTGTCTCGGAAAATAAAATATCTCTTATCTCTCTCACACGGAATTCTAATAGAGGCAAGCCTCCACAAGTTCATCTCTATACGAAAAAATGAAGTACCCTAGTAGAGATTAAAAAAAGAAAGAAAAAAGAAAGTTTGAGAAATTAGAAAATTAAAAAAATTATATATATATATATATTTTTAAAGGAAAATTCGAAAATAAAATATTAAGGATCCATGTGTATGAGAGGAGGAGCGGGGTATGGAAGTATTTTCCATTTGCCAGGTGGCAGTCAAAGCTACCGAAGTCGTGCATCAGTGGCACTGTGGCAGTTTCTCTACGCGCTAATAAGATAAGTTGACCTGCACCAATTATCATTATATAAATATTCATTTGTTATTTTTATCTTATTCTTATATTCGTCTTTTAACATTTAAAATTATGATAATTTAATCATGGTAATATTTTTACCAAGTCTCTAGAACTTTTTACGTTTTTTAAATAAACTTTTATAATTATATCTATTTTATTTATAATTATATCTACTTAGTCATTGTATTTTTAAAAAATTATAATGAGTCCATGATTTTCAATATTGTGTGCCAAGTATAATACTGAAATCAACCTACTACAAAATCCCCAACAATACATACATCGTTAGCGTGCTGTGTTATATGAATTAACAATATAATATTAGACACTAATTAAAAGTTAAAAAACCTATTAAAAAATGTGAAATATAAAAACTAAATAGACCTGACTAGTTCATAAGTACAAAAAAGAGAGAGAGAGAATCCTAAAAGTACCATCGTAAATTTTACCTTTTTAAAATAAAATAAAATAAATTTCTAGCTCTGCCTATTATAGGTGGCAATCTAACAAAATTGCAAAGACTATATTATTCCCTCTCACATTTCCAAAGGAAAATGTGAAGTTCCAGTCAAAAGTTACAGGCATAACACCCTCACATACAGGGGCAAGAAATTAACACATAAATTGTCGCATCCATAAAAGATATCTATTTTGAATTTTCTCTTCATGAGTAAATGAGGATGGAGTGATTGGATTTCTTGATGAAAACCTTAAATCAACCACTTCAATTGAGTATCTGATTCACTTAAAAGATGGAATAAAGAGAGGGTATGAACTCACAATTGAAAGTTTTCTATCAAGATTCAAAACAGGAAGCAGGCAGAGTAACAGCATCATTATCCATCCAAGTTACTTCGGATACATGGATTATTAAGTAAACTGATTTCCTCGCCCAAGTACTCAACTTCAGAAAAATTTTTGCAGAAAAAACAACAAAATTTCATGCAGAATTCGAGTTATTCGAATGGTACAAACAACTGCAGGAAAGCAAAGCTTAAGGATGAACTGAAGACATTGTTTTACCAAGTGAAGAACCTCAGACATAGTATCCTGTGAAAGTAAATCCCCTTCCCACAATTTCACCAGCACAAAACCATGCAAAGCATTCGAGCCCAAATAGAGCAGCAATACCAGCATCTTCCACCTTCAGCTCTTGTCTGTTCTTCCATAAATTTTTTACGCAATCGAGTTCCTTATGGAAGGACTCATACCGACCTGGAAGACTGTATCGATAAGATGCAGCATGTCAAAATGATATCCCACACAAATAATTTTCTAATATTTATTTGCCTACATTATATATATATTTTTATCCGTGAGTGTCCGATCCAGCTTACTCATACCTCGACTAATCTCAACAACAACCATACCCTATTACATTCGGTTGCCAAAGAAACACATAGTAAATTATTCTAGGTAGGTGGTCACTATGGAATTTGAGGCCATTCTCTCAAAATCCTTTAAATTTACCTTAAATGATGGTTTTTTTTTACTACAATACTACAGAAGAAGATATTCTCACGACATGACCACAACAATAAAACAAATTTGACTACAATTCACTGGGGAAAGTTATATGGCTCACAGGGAAAAGAATACATCAGAGTATCTCGGTTGTTAAAAAATGATTTTCTAGTCGAGCTCGTGTATGTCCAATTTTATGATTATTTTGTATAATATATATGGTATCATAAATAAACAAAAGGAAGTTCATAATAAAAATAAATGTGAATTCTCAGGCACTACAAAATTATAAACAAAGAGCACATTTTTTAAAATTATTATTATGCGTTTCTTCAGAAAGCACTAGTAAATATTCCTGAAATTTCAAAAAGTACTTGTGCCTAAGGCCCTAAACACCATTATGTATTTATAGTAGTGTATTGATGAGTTCAAAGTGTCTTTCAATAATCATAAGCTCTCTAAATATTGTTCTATACATAAAGTAAATCGTTGGACATCAATGTGAAAAAAAATTATTATCCAATATGCTAATGCTATATATGATTGAAAAATCTTAAAAGGACAAGAATTTTGTTGTTAGAGCCAGCAATACCATCACACATTGGCACATAAGCGTTTCCTTAAATCTTTCCTACAATCAATTGACTTATTTTTCCTCTAAACAGTTGCCAAAAACTCAAGAAGGTGCTGCAGCACAATAGTGCCACACAACATTTATATTAATTAATTAATAAATAAATAAAAAGGGACTCAACGAGGCAGAATCTAACATTGATTAAAAGCCAAAAAAAAAAAAACTGCTTGCATTCATCCAGTAATATGGATTAGAATAGTATTTATTACCATATATTGAAAAGAAAAATGTAAGGTTGAATGAAAAATAGGGAAACTTTAAAAGACAACGAAACTAAAGAGCACAAATTACTGAGCACGGATGATATTAAAAATAGGTAACCTTCTAACTGCACCAACAGACCAAATAAAATGTGGTCCAACATGATTAAGGGAAAGAATGGGTACCATTTCCTAACTCCAAAAAGATGCGAAGCGTTAAGTCAAACAATATTCCAATATAAAGAGAGTGTAGAAAGTATGACCTAGCAAGGCGAGTGTATAATAATTGCTTAGAAAGCTCGTTGCATTTCTCCACTGTAGCTGGCTCCTGAATAAATTGCTTGTTTTGCTCCAACAATTGCTTGTAGTAGGAACACCCATTCTTTAACACAAATCGTGATGCTTGAGTGGCCTTGGACTGTAACTGAGTCAACTTGGATGCCATTAATTTTGTCTTATGCTCTGGGAATCAGTAAACAGAACATATGAGATGTTTTAACAACTGAGGAAGTCAATAACATAAAAAGGACGTTTAGAAAAAAAAAATCTAATTACTATAATATGATGATATTACTTTACAAATTTATATTTTTTTGTTCCCCAAATTCATCAAGCCCTCAAAGTCTATTCTTTGAGACTAGGGCTATCATTTGAAATTTGACACCATAACACTTTGGTCTTAAACCTATGACCATGTGACTGCCATGCCCTTCCTAGGTTTTAGTCTCTATCTATAAAATCAAACATCAGAACTCAGTATCCTTTAATAAAAGACTAACCACATGAACTTAAATGAGTTATACCACGCATTCGGCATTTCGTAGACAGTGTCTCCTAGTCCTGCCTGAAGTATTAAGAAGCTTCGACACGATAGTTTTAATTTCAGGCAACACTTAGAACCACCGAAGTGGTAACTCAGTTAACTAACAAGAAATGGTACTGAATTAATGACAGAATATTCAGAGAATAAATGCAAATTTGACTTTGAAAATACATAGACAATCGTCGAGTCAATAAATAGCTAAACCACATGTTGGCAAAGGTTTTAGAACTATCTCC